CGCTCTTCCAATGCCAGCAACTCCTAAAACCCATAAACAAATATTCAGCAAGTGACAAATACAATTAACCTGACCAGGAAATAGATTTACGGGTTTTGGTATGGTTTTACCTCATACGACATGTTGTCAACATCAAGTCGCATATCTCTATATCGGTCATGAGTCACCCCTAGAAGCACCGACTGATCAATAAGCATAAAATCCTGATAAATCAGTACAGAAAAAACAGAAGACCATTCAGTCAGGTTCCTTAGGTTTCATCTATTCAATCAGTTCATTAACAACAAAAAAAGTGCTGTAAGGTATCAGTCCTTACAACTCCAAAACACAAAAACCAAGCAAGCAAGGACATGCCAAAATTTGCATTCATCACTTTTCTGTTTTGCTAAACTATTTTTTCAATTCATTTTATGAGCAAAATGGAAAACCTAACCTCGAGCCGCAAGTGCTCTCCTCTACGCACGAGATCCATGACATTGCGGAGCTGCTGAAAAGAGAAGCACATTATCAGTTATAATCAAGAGTTTGCCCAGCAACCTACAGCATTTCACAGACAATTATATGAACCAAACCAACAAATTTGAATCCAGAATGTTGTAAGGAAATGACCTCGGAAGTCATCCCCCCTCTTCCTCGACTAGCGGATGCCAAGACTCGCAAAGAATTGGGAATCCCAATCACTCCATCACCTTGTCTTTCCAACCACGGAGCTGATCTCGGGTATGCACGATTACGTGTCTGGCTATTGTCACCTCCAGACTGAAGCAACATCTCATCCGGAGAAGCAGAGGGGACGAGAGAACGAAGTATTGGATTATTACCGGCTCTCTGATTCGAACCATCAACAGCAAGGGAAGAGAGCAATGACCTGCGGACAAGTTCGGATAATCTTCTTTGATAGAGTGAGGAATTACTCTGATAAGGAGGAGCCCAAGCTCCATTAGATGGAGGGGGTTGAACACTTGCACTTGAGCCTGTTCTGGAGGAAGATGACGCGACATTTCCAGCAAAGTTTAGGTTTCCACTGGTTACGTTTCTAGTTATCTGACTGCGGGAGAAATTTCTCATTTCAGGTGTTGGAACAAACAAGGGGTTCTCTAGAATATTCCTTGATATGCTTCTTGACCTGGATTCATCTCGTTGAATCACGTTTCTGACAATAGGTGCAACAGAACTGGATGATCCACCCGGTACTGGGCCTCCATTCCATCGGAATGGTGGCAGCATATTTCTTGAAATAGGCGGCATCTGAAGAGTAGGAACATTTGGGTTCTGAGAAACCACATTGCCTAAAGCATGTCCATGTCTCAAGTCTAAAGGATGTTGATCGGCTGGCAGAAGTCTTGATGAATTCGACAAGGATGGAGCAACAGGTCGCCTGACAACACTTCCTGCAGAAAAGATGGCTGGGTTTACAGTTTCTTGGTGATCCGAGGGATTAACCCTGATACACAAATTTCTACTGGAGCTCTCTGCAATTGCAGGAACAGGAAAGTTTGGAACAACACCAGAGACCAATCCCCTTGGACCTTGATCAAGAGATCCAGATATGTTAAAACCACTTCCTGGGTTATAAAACGCCGGAGCCATGGTCCAAGAACTGCTTTCTTCACGCCGGAAATCACGAAAGCCTCCACTTGAAGAGGATTGACCAATGCTGCCTTCAAGAGCTTTTCTTTTGCAGGAAGCACGACGACCCTCGAGGGAAGAACCTGCTCTACTACTATTCTCTTCAAAACCCATGCCCGGTGACAAAAGCCTGCTGCCTGGTCCATTAGCATCAAACAAAGCAGGATGACCCATGACATGAGTCATATTCCCAGGATGTTCGATAAATTCTGCCTTCGGGTTGACATTCTGAGGAACCCGACTAGAACTAGAAGATTGCAAGAAAAACGGGTTCAAATCAATACTCTCATTTCTTTGTTCCTCGAAGTGTCCAAGTTCCGGTCTCTGCTCATCCTGACTGGCAACTTCATTCTTCGTGCCACTAGAACTAGCCTCACCATGGCTAAACCTGTGCAAATCCTGTTGCCCATGATAAACTGAGTTGGCAAATGCAATATTTGTATCAGCAGACGAAGTCATGTAATCCTGCAAGTCGTTATCACCAAGATTGTGGATATTCTCCCAACAGATTTGCTGATCTATCACAGCATTACTTGATGAAGAACCATGCTCAAAGTTCAAGGCCTCTGATAAAGAGCCAAGACTGGCTCTCTCTCCCTGCATGTGGGCTATGCTTTAACCCCAGTTTACACTTTAGGAAAGGAGAACTCAAGACTCCAGGCAACGCACTGGATAGTTAAACTGCAGCAGAACAAGAGACCGAATCTTTCAGTAGAAAAGACGGAGAAAAAGCTCTGAAAGAAACAAATTTCCACTTAACGAAAAAGAATTGTGACACTTAATGCAAACTGACATTGAAGATACACACTGATGCCAATGGGTCGGCTTTGCCAAGAAAAACATTAGGGGGAAAAGCACATTCACAGCAGCAAGACGCCATTGGTATTTCATAAGAGCTCTTAACTTAGATTTTTAGTAGCTAAATGCACGAATGGCTCTTTCATGGTGCCACCAGCTATCCAAAAATAACTCATGGATCTTTTACAAGATGCAAAAGCGGCATCAATCAATTTAGATGCATGAACAATAACTTCATATCCACCAACCGATGAAGGAAAAACCTCAACGCAATAGCTTCAATCAGACACAACAAGCTTAACACTTGCAACAAACCCGAATAATCTGGTCGAGATGCTTAGAAAATTTGCTCAGTAATGATCAGAATGGTATCAGGAAAGAAGAGTAAAGATCAAACTCTCCAGCTCAAACTCAGGCCAAACAAGAACAGCAACATCAAGAATGACATATCAACAAACCATCCATTCTGACCAACTCCGACCACAAAGCTATCTCAAAGCACCAACAGCCAAGCTAACATATCGAACAGCAAGCCAAAGCAAAGGAAAGCAACAACTTTAAGGTAAAGTTTCGTCAGAGAACCAATCCACAACATAGCAATGAAATCAGACAAAAACTAACAGAACAGATTACGCAACTTGTCCCAAAAAAAAACACAACCAGGTTCTTACAAGCAGAGATCTGTTCAAAATGACAAAACCAGCATAAAACCCATGTAAAAGGAACTAGTTTTTCGTGGAACAAACTGAAGCAATCACTTGTACCGCGATCGATTCTGATGAATTCATGATGAAAAACCCAGAATTTCGAAATAAGAACGGAAATTTTCGAAAAGAAAAAGAAACCCACCAACAGATTCGTTGAGGTTCGATCCAGCTTGACAGAACCCAGAGATCGAAGAGAGAGAGAGAGAGAAATACATACACAAATCTAGCAGAAAACGCAAAAGGAAATCGATCTGAGAAACCTACGGGAAGAAATCAGAGAAAGTTTCAGGAAAGAAAAAAACACACTTGTCTTAATTTTCCCAGATTCTTCCTCCCTTTCAAAGCCGCACAAAACAAAAAAGGCAGCGATTGAAGGAGAAAACAAAAAAAAAAAGAAGAAGAAGAAGAAGCACAACCTGTTGCGGAAGAGATGATGAGACGAGAAATGAGGAAAGGGGGAAGAGCGAACAAGCACAAACCCGAATGGGAACAGAACCGAGGATTATCAGGGAGGTGACAGAAATGGGTAATTTACCAATTTCACCAATACCAAAAAAATAATAAACAAATCTTGTTAAATAATAATTCTTTTTTTAAATAACCAAATCGAAGGCTAAAGAGGAAAAATATGGTTATGGAGCAGTCATGAGAACACTTTCCAAAGGGAGGATTGAATAGCCTAAGCAAAATGGCAACTAATCACAACAAAATATATTAAATATATATATAGGTTTAACGTGTAATATATAATATATATAAGTTAGGATGCATACGTGAGTGTATATGCGCATTGGAATTGGGACAGAGCAAGTTGGCAACCAAAATGAAATTCATATGCTTTTGGCGTCCAAGCGACCACGCGGCCTTTGCCCTCCTTTCTGTCGTCCTTCCTTTTTTTTTTTACTTTTCTTTCCTTCTACACATTCATATATATATATATAATAGCGACAATTTGGTTTTTTCAAGGAATTATCGTTTCACGCTTCCAGATTCTATTGAGGGTTGTTTTTAATTTGCATCAATCTCTATCTGATTTTTACGTTAAATTTGATTAGCAGTGATTTTTATTTAGATTGATTTTTTTATTGATAATAATTGTTATTTAATGCTTTTAATATATAAAAATGATATCTTTTAGTTTTTATATTCAATACTCTCAGATGTATTTGTTTCATAGAAAGTTGGATCGTGGAACACAAATTAAACAAATAAAAAATATTTTTTTATATACCCGTTCGATTTAGTTTTTATTTTGATTTGATTAGATTCGATTAAATAAGTGAATCCAACTTTTTTAAAAAAAAAAAAATTGTCTCCCATAAGGATGAATGAATTAGAAATTTTGTTTCAATTTATTTTTGTTGGTTTTAGTGGTGAGTGTAGAATTGAGGTAGAGAACTGCAACAGCATAGAATTCAAAAGAAAAGTTAAATCTATTAATATTATTATTGATTGGGTTTAGTTTTTATTCCGTTTATATCCATGTGTTTTGTGTATTAATATATTTATTCGATATATTTATGTTAAAGGTATATAATATATTGTTGTTTTGTACGTTCTTTATTGTTTATTCGAATTTGATTTGGAGTCAAAATTTAAAAAAAAATCATATCTAAAGAGAAAACGATAATTACCTCTCACATGCCCATTCTAAAAACAGACTAAAAAATGCTAATTATTATGCATGGAGAATGAAATCATAGTTATATTATTAAAAAATTAAATATTTCATATAATCGGATAAATCCATACGAAAAAAATCTATCAGATTCAAATAGATTACAAAAATTATGACTGATACTGATACGCAATAATTTTTGGATAATAAATCCTTTTAACTAACTTGGAAGTTCGAAAAGCTGTCCGATCACGTGCGTATGTGTATCTAATGTCTGAATTTGGTGGGGCCCAGAGCGAAGACTGGATTGGATTTTCTGTCCAAATAATCTAATATTTTCTTGTATCTAATTGTAGAAAACAAATCTATTTAATCTAATCTGGTTTTAAGAGTGGGACCCATCTCACGAGAGGAACGTACTTCTCCTTTTATATAATTAATTAATATATGATATTTTTTGAAACATTTTGAAAATTAGGCGTGTTTGTGAAATTAATATGTAAATTTATTATTATTATAATTATGTATTCGATATATAGACGAAGATAAAAAAGAATTTAAATTAATTTAGAAATTAGAGGATGAACATAATAAGAATCTAATTTTTTTTGGTTGATTAAGAATCTAAATTATGCTAAAAGATTGACAGTAAAATTCTGATTGGCACAACAGGTTTTGTATTAGTCACAATGAAGTTCCTCCACGGATCCGCTCCGTCGTCTCCTCCTCCGCCGCCGCGTGATGCATTATTCGATCTCGATGCGGTGGAGGAGCTCGGAATAATCGCGGGATCCACCGGCGGGGTGAGTTGGTGAGCCGGAGTGGCATCGGAAACTCCGTTTCTGTTGCCGATCTCTCGTTTTCTTCCGGTTTCGATGTCGCCGAATGCGACGTCTTCTGCAGCAGATATAAGTTGCGAAAGAGAGGTAAGACGAAAGTCCTTCCCGATTCTGCTTGTTTCCCGAGAAAACAGAAGAAATTTGTCCTGATGAAAACAAATTGATTCAAATACTGGAGGATTTGGTGCTTTTCCAAAATCCCTTCTCGCTTTCTTAGAATCTGAAACTATTGAGTGTGATCTTCATATTGGTTTTCCAATGAAACGAAATCATCCGTCTAGGTATGCTTCTCGCCAAAAAAAAAACCATCTAGTTTCCCTCTATATTCAATAGGGTTTATCGCTTAAAATTTGACAGACATGGGTCTCAGAGAAGGAAGAGTAGAATCAATGGCAGACTGAAAGCTAGGTTTACGGCATGAACACTTTATCATGGAAGACTGGATAATGATGCTTCAATGCTGGATGAAGCGATCGAGCTTCTGCTTCGATTTGCAGGTAATGTCATCATCGTTTCCTTTTCCCGTCTGCTTCAAATTCGATCACGCATTGTCCGGCAGACCTTTCTAACGTGCTAGAGATGTCACTGAAAGACGATTCCTTACAAAATTTTCTTTTTGTTGGAATCATTTCCTCGATTTCCTTAGTATGTTCGGATTCATCTTTTAACCTGTTCGATAGTTGCTGCCTTGGAATCTATTTTCTTATTATCGGATCCGATATCTTGAACACTAAGAGTGCTGTGTTAGGATTTAGGTGTTATCAAGCATCATTAGGACATCGTTTTATCCCGTGGGGTTGGTTCTATTGAGGCTATGATAGATGGTCACTTGCCTTTGAATTGTGTTCTCTTTTGTTTTTCTTCCCGACACATCGGGCTCCTCTCGGTCTGCGCTCTTTTAACATACCAGATAGAGAGGTTTTCCGGCGTTGAATCTAGTACCATTTTACTCTTTTTTTGTTGTTTTTTCATATCGAATTTCACGCTGTTCTTCCCCGTCATTTGGAAACAAAACGATGTGGGTGTCTTCTTGCTCTCTTGAAATCGTTGCAACCATGCCGATTGCTACAAATTTTGATGGTGGGAACTGTTTTTCCATGGAAATGAACCATTGAAGTTAAAACCAAAGAAAACCTTCCTTCTTTCCTCCCCTATGGTTCATCACTAGCTGACTGATGTGCACATTAGATCTAATCCTTGCCTGTTTTCACCATTCTGCTCTGCTATTGCAATTTCCAGGAGTCCTGGATCCATTGCCATTGTGTCGAGCTGGAGGAGCGAGTTGTCTCGGAGGATATGGACAAGTGCATTCCACTCCACAACCCCGCTTTCTGGTCCGACGAAAACTTTACTCAAACTCTGCTTTCGATTATCTGACCAATTTGTCAAACCCTCGATCTCTGATCACGGAAACTGCCGTAACATCGGAGATGCAATTCAAATCATCGCTACGATGGATCATCTAGGATCTGAACATCGTCGGAGGTAAGTACATAAGGTGGTGACGCTTGGTGAGCAATCTCCGGGTTTGCGGACGATTGCGGTTTAGAGTGCGCGAGATTGGAACAGTTCCAATCGGTCGTAATCACAGCAAAACGTTATTAGTCTTAACACGGATAAAAACTTGCATTACGATAGCGTTTTGTAGTGTTTAATCAAAATTATATCTTTTTTTATAATTTATATCAAATCGTAATCGTTGAATTGCAACCTGTTGCGACGTTAGTAACATCACTTTTTCTAACCGTCAACACCAATCACCCGATTGCGATTACGTTTGAACCGATCCCACTTGACTCTGCAGAAAACTGTGGAATCATCACGATCTTGACAAATTTGTCACATTCTGTCCTTTTTTGTCTGTGTTTTTCATTGTGAAACAGAAGGAAGAGATGTGTGAAAGCAAACAACTGTGTGTGTATACGAGTTTAAATAATAAAAATGCAACCTTTATCATTTTTTGTCTGAAAAGAAAACTCGTACAATGAAATCCATAAACTTTTAAAAAAAATTCTACGTAATATATATAAATTGGAAATTATGATGCACCCATAATTTTTTTTTATTTTTTTCATCGTAATCCCAATTATATAAATTTTTACTTTTTTTTCATAGGAACCCATAATCTTTACAAAAATCCATACAAATGCATCAATTTTTGAAGCGATAGCATTTTCTCTCTCTAGTTATATAGTATTTTGGGTGCGTATGTATATATAATATACGTGTGTATTTTGTCTCTGTGTACGTGGGCAAAATTCCTGGTTCTATATCCTTGTAAAAATATAAGAAATCTGTTAATATTTTAAGAGTTTATGTATGTTTATAAAACCTAATGAGTTTATATGAAAAAAAATTATGAAATTTATATATCCATATAAATTTTTATATGATTTTTTTTTATAAATGTATCATGTGTGGTGTGGATCTATATCATCTTCGTGAGTTCATGGAATCAGTGTGTGCCTTTTTTTCTTGGTGAAAAGTCGGTCTTTCACGAAGTCAGTGTGGTAATGGCACAACGTTAAGTACAAGTACAACAACCAATACGACAATTGATAACCCATGGTTAGATTTTTATTCATATGGCCAAAGTATTTATGTGGCATATATATTTCACATTCGTAATTAATCACAATTAACTTAATTAATTTTTTTATAATCTAATTTTCCAACAGATCAGGACTTAACCGCGTAACCACAATTGGGCTCCTCACCATATACTTACCTTCTTCGTCTTCCCAAATCAGAAACCCAAACAACTTATCCACTTCCATGAATCTTGGCCCTTCGATTCTCACTTCAAAGCTCTTCTTCTCCTTCTTCTCCGCAAAAACCAATTTCTCAGGCTTAACCTCCACCTTAAACCCTTCAATGGCCGTCACTTTCGCCTCGTACCTTGCCGCTCCTTCACCCACGTTCGTCACCGTCCTCTTGAACACTTTTTCAACCGAGGAATCCTCCGTCTTCTTCGTGTTGTTCCCGTCGAAAAACGCTATGAAAGACGGGTAATTGAGATCAAGAGACGGCGAAGAACAGTCTGGAGATGATGATCCTGTGACGACATTGATCTGTTTAGGGGTCAAATTCATCGCACACATCAGGTTGATGTAATCTTGAGTCGTTGCGTCGTAGACTAGACCGGGTTTCAAGGCACGGTTCGGGTTAATGTGCCCTGCTCCCATGGCCAGTGGCGTCGCCGGGAGGAAGTTATCGCCGTTATCGTCACTTCCCAAGTCTCCAATTGGATTTCCTGAGTTGTCAGTCGCGTCAGATGACGTCATGATGGCTGATCTGATTGCTTCGGGGCTCCAGTCCGGGTGAGCAGCTCTAACCAGAGCCGCTACTCCTGCCGCGTGGGGACACGCCATGGATGTTCCTGAGATCATGTTAAACTTGCTGAACAAGTTACCGGGAGGATCATCATCGTCGTTCACCGATATTTTGTCGGGCCAAGCCGCTAAGATCAAGTCTCCAGGGGCTGTAATGTCAGGTTTTAGAACATGTGGGCACGAAGGAGAAGGACCACGAGAACTGTAACTCGCGATTCTTGGCGCGGGTTTAGTCCCAAGAACCGTTTTCTTGAACTCCATTCTTGCTCTCGGTGCGGTTTCGGGGTTTTTGATCGAGTTCTTGAGTTTGTAACCCTCTTGCGGGCCTAGGAATATTGCAGGAAACGGTGATTGAACGAAGAATCTGATGGTGTTGGTGGCGTTGGATATGAAAACGGCTCCAGCGACATTGGAATCTCTGACACTGAAAACTTGTCGGCTAAGGCTATCATCCATGCTTTCACACACAACGATCTTGGACTTTGCGGTTGCATTGATGAGCTTCGAGTTATTACAATACTCCAGAAGAACAATAGGGATGAACTTGTCAGAATACAGAAAATCTCCGATGTACATAGATTGTCCTGTGACCGAGACACCGTTTTCCAGGTCTAATGTAGCGTGGAATTCGCGATCCACCGTTCCTGCAGCCACGGTTAGAACCCAAGGCGTACCGTTGTGAAGAGTTCCATCAAAAGGGCCTTCGTTTCCTGCAGAAGTCGAAACAAAAACGCCTTCGCGCACGGCACCGAACGTGGCTATAGCCACTGGATCATCATATAACGCTGCACCGGTAAGCCCAAGTGATAATGAGATTACATCACACCCATCTTCCACTGCTTTGTCAACGGCGGCTATAATATCAGACTGGTAGGTTCCTTCTGCAAACCCGACCTTGTACATTGCCACATGGGCACGAGGAGCCATCCCTCTCGCCGTGCCCGAGGCGTAACCAAAGAAGGATACGTCTTCTACGAAGTTCCCGGCCGCAGTCGATGAGGTATGGGTCCCGTGACCCTCGGTGTCACGGGTAGAGTTCATGGATATGGTGACGTTAGGCACATGTGCGACTAAACCTCTGCTGAAAGACCTCGCACCGATGAGTTTCTTGTTGCACAAGGAAGAGTTAAATTGCGTGCCCTCTTCGCATTCGCCCTTCCATTTTGACGGAATCGTGCCCATGCCATCCTCGGCGAAGCTCTTGCTCTCGGGCCAAAGTCCCGAGTCCACGACCCCGATGATCACGCCTTTCCCGAAATCGGTTATGGCCCACGCGCCGGAACCAGGGCTAAGCCCTAGAAACTCGAATGAGTGAGTGGTGTCTAGCTTCACGGGCTTGTCTCTCGTGGCATAGACGAAACCAGGCGAGGTTTCAAGAGAACGAAGCCCGCTCGGCGACAAAACGGCGCTGAATCCTCTGAGGACGCGATTATACGTATAGAGATGGTCGGAGGCTGATGAAATGGACGCAAGAGTGGACATGTACCAACTGTGTTGCGAGGAGAAAGCCTTTGGCATTTCTGATAGATCCATATGAACGATGTAAACATCGTCGTCTTCTGCTCGTGAGAATGGACAGATGAATACGAGAAAGAAGAACAAACATAATGGATGTCTCTCGAAATCTGAAGTCCCCATTAATCGAAGGAGGGTTTCAAGAATTATGAAAGGTTGTTTGAAACTATGGGATGGCTTATATATATATATATATAGAGAGAGAGAGAGAGGGAGAGAGGCTCGTGGGTTAATCTTCACACGAGCTTTGTTACACACAACAACGGGGTTTCGTCTTAACTCGCACGTACGGACGGGCCTCAAAGAGACGGAATCGGTGATTAAGTCAAAGATGGTCATATAAAGACAAGGAAACGAAACCCTCGAATTATCACTTCGTGTCGGCAAACACATCCGTTAATTAATTGTCTGAATTGTTGTTTTCTAATAAATGGCCAAACACATTACCAATCAATCATATTACGCAATTTCATTTCCAGTAATGTAAAATTAATGCCATGTTAATTATTATTATTATTTTTTTATCATTTTGAAAGCAGTGAATGAAATGGTTTTTCTTACATAATGGAGTAAAAAGCTCTTAATATATATATATATGTCAAAATCTTTATACCCGATTGTTCTAATTCCGCAATGGATTCACTTAGGGTTCCTTATTTTCGATCTTATATGTTAGTTTGTATAATAATTGTACACGAGCTTGTCATACGGTGTATTATTTTGGCCCATGCTTTTATATATATATATATATAAAATTTTGTTTTATTGAAAGAAATGTGGAAGGGGTTCACAAAGATTCTATTGGAGAAGAGAACAAAAGATTTGAAGTAGAGGGCCATGTGCGTGTTGTAGAAGAGCAATGATCAAGATAGGGTGGCGTCGTCGAGAGTGAACAAGGACCAAACACTCCACAATCATTGTGTTATGTTTATCCATATCATCGTATCTTCCAACCAACACATCCTTCTCTATCTCTATAATCATATTCCACTCGGTCCGATTCGGTTTCAATTTTTATTAAAAAAATTATACTTTTTCTTAATTAAATTTCAGTTTCTTTTTCTGGATTTGTTTATCTGTTCGGTTCAATTTCAAAATATTCGGTTTTTGACAAGTGTTAATATTTAAGATTTATTCGTTTTTGTAAAGCCCGAATATCCTCAATAGAGGTACCCGTCATTGAACTCAATTACTTCATAATAATTGAATCTATAAAAAAAAATTAAAAAAAAAAGTTAATTGACTTTTGTTAACTTCATTGATATTTTGGTAATTTTAGTTATAAATATATTTATGTATTATTATAAATACATTGAAATATTAAGGATGAAAATGTCATTTTATTCATATTTGGGTATTCGGGATAATCCGATATCATTTAAAAAAACTCGAACTCGAAACTGCCGGATTCTTGGTCTCACCGTACCTGTCAGCTTCGTTCCGTTGCAGATATCCATATCCCGAGTACCACAAAACTAGATACCCGAAAATCCGCAAATCTAACTATCCGTGTCTAACCCTAACGAAAAGTAGATTTGAGACTCAAATCTAAATCCGAAACATAGTTTCGTACACTGAACTCAATTATCCCATAATAATCGAATCCGTCAAAATCTTGAAAACTTTGTTGACTTTATAGATATATTGCTAATTTTAGTTAAAAGTATATTTATATATTATTGTAAATATATTAAAATATCAATGATATAAACGTCATTTTTTTATATCCGAATATTCGGATAATCCGATGTCGTTAAAAAAAACTCGAATCTGAACCTACAGTCCTGATTCTTGTCCTCATCGCACCCGTGTTCAGCTTCGTTCTTTAGCGGATACCCGCGTATCGAATACCTACCTACGAAACCGGATACTCGAACACCCGCAAATCTCAAGTACCCCCATTCAACCCTAACGAAAAGTAGATTTGAAACTCGAATCTAACTCCGAAATCTAGATACCCAAATTTCTGATTTTTCCCACCCTGATATTGAAAGATGGAAAAAAAAAATGAAACTCAAAAAATGGAAGTGGTACAGCGGCAAAGAAGGACCACGGGAGAATGCGTGCATGGAGATTTCTCACGCAATGTCCTTAGATCTCCTAAAAGACAAGGATATTTTTAACCACTTATGCTTTATTTTATTGGATAGTGAAATTACGATTTATCTAAATATGCATACAAAGAACAGTTTTATGAAATATACTGCAAAATGAAGATGCGGAATATATAGTTGTATAATACAATAAAAACTGCTAAAAATACCGCAATGGATCATTATTTAACATAACAGTACTTCAATTTAATTCAATATAAAAAATTGAATATATATTTATATATATAATTTAAAAATTGAATATATATAATTTGAATCGAATCGAGACGAACGAGTTTGTGAAGATAGAGTTTTGCAAATCGTCCTATTCTATTGATATCATGTGTTCTTATATACAGACATACAAGGGCAAAATTGGAAAATAAAATGCAAAGAAAGCAAAAACCAAATCGAATTACTAAACCGAAATGTAATGCTAAACCGGAAAACAACTGTACCAAGAGAACAAAGAATGAATCAATCATGCTTTGTGTTCTTAGCAGAAGAACAGAGTTTCGAGCCTTACGCTGCAGAAACATCGAAGTGAAAATATGCAGCTCCTACAGTAATGTTTCTGATATTTACCAATACGTGAAGTTGCAATTAGAATTTATATAATATTTATTTGTATTTGAATTGTAGATTATAATTTTATATTTGTTGTATTTTATTTTTTTCGTCATATATTGTATTTGGATATGAATATATTTTTTTTTATGTCTTGCATGGTATTTCGTATTTGTTTTGATTCGAGTGAATAACTCTAACTCTATTCTTACTTGCAAATGATCCTTCAATAGTAAATAAAACTGAGGGAATAAATAAGATATAAATGTATTTATTAATTCATTTTTTGGTTAGGTTATGAAGTTTTTTTTTGTATATATTGAGTGTATTATACACTGAAAATGAAATAATACAACTATAATTTTTAAATCATTTAAATGTTTGTTTATATTTGAAACTTTAAATCTAAATGTACATACTAGAGATTTAAATATAAATCTTTTAAATAATAAAACTAGATTGTTTTGTTTTCACTTCCTCTTCCAGTGCCAAGTAACTGGAGAATTATGGACATGCTATATGTTGTATTCAGGTTAATTCATCGGATTTTTGATCCAACCACTACATCCATCTTGAGTCGGAAACGAATCTTTCTTCAATTAAATTGTATTTTTTTTCCCAACTCCTTTTTCGAACATGAGATTTTTGGGACAAGTGGTACTAAAACCATACTCTACAACCAGAGATACAACCATTCGGCCACGATTTCTTCAGTGGAAAATGTTATTCTCTACCGATACCACTTGCTCAATACCCGCAATTGATCAAGTCTACCTCTACTGATGGTATTCAGAGTCAAAATTCGTTGATGAAAATACTTTTTAACGGTATATTTATTCTAGCAATAGAGAAATAACATAATTTTCCGAAACGAAACACGATCAATGATAGAACTACACACCAAAAAGTTGATAGAATCATGCGATTTATGTTCCATACCTAATAGTATTCATTTTCTTGGTTTCTTCCGGTTAAAATCGGTTTTATACTCGTACTTTACTATTTTTGATCTATGGAATTTACACTTTGTAAAAAAAATTCTAATTGCATGCTACATTACACCATTCACAAACAGTTCTATAGAAGAAAATTTGCTTACATACAATTAGAACATTTGCGATTAAATACCGGTTTATGTGTTGTGTTTATTATGTGTGTCTCTCCTTATACTTCAATGCACTAACTCTTCGTTTGAAGATAGAACATAGAAATCGGTTATGGATCGACCTCTCATTTTTTTTTTATTATTGTCAATTTTATAGAAATTCTGTTGAAATGCATTAATTTTTACTTTTTCCGGCCTTTATAATCTATATTTTTTTATTCCTATAATGCAATGTCTTTTACTAAATTTTAACCTTCGAAAAATATTTTTTTTATTTGTGTCTTGAAATAGGAGTGATTGTTTCAGTTCGATTTCTCATAATTGAATCGCATTGAACCGAAAATCTCGGTATTTTTTTTTTTGAACCACACCATTCAAAATCTTTGAACGGTATATTTTTTATAGAATATAATTTTCTAGAACCGAACCGAATCAAACCGTATAAAATTTCCGAAAAATCGATTTTTTTTAGGAAATCTATTTTTTTTTAACAAAAACTGAAATCAAACCGTAACAAACCGGAATCAAATTGAACCGGACCGAATAATAAACGATATTAATTAGATACAAATTTTAAAATACCGAGTAAACCGTTCTCGAAGCGAATCGCTAAACTTCTGAACCGAAACCCCGAAACTTCCACCTTAGCTTGAAACAATATTCTATCCGTTGCTCTTATTATTATTCGAGCTAGAATAAATATGCCTTCAGAATTTGGATTTCCAATAACAAAGGGCCTTTAGGACCCAATAGCAAATAATCCAAAGACCTTCAGGTAATGTTCGGACTTGTGAGTTCTATTATGTATATATAGAGAGAGAGTGTGTGTGTATTCATATATGTGAACATAGTAATACGTCCTTTATTTTATGTTCGTTTTGTACAATTATTTTATTACAAAATCACAATAAATAACAGATTAGTTCTTTCAGAATTATATATACACATACAATGCATAAAGCTAATTAATATAATTATAATGATATAAAATAGTTTAATGCACATACCCAATAAAACTAAATAATATCTATTTGTTTTTATCGATATTAATATTCAAGAATAGAATTTTCTAGATCGTGTGTATATATAGTATATGCAATTATTGACATATTGGACATTATAAATACTCTTTATTAGACAGTAATCAGAATCGTACAAAATTGGTACCAAAATGGAATAAAATCACGCCAAAAAAAAGTTAACATTATTAATTTACTAAATTAATTGCCATTTTTTTTTACCAAAAAATATGTTTAATTTTTGGTCAAACATATATCCGTCCATTACTACAACAAACTAAAAATGCTGATTCTTTTTATTTGTTTTCTTAAATTATACATATTTAGACATTTTTTCCTAAAGGTTTTTTTTCAAAACTAAAATGCCAATGAGTCATGGGTAAGACCATTTATTTGCATTATACTTTTACCTTTCAAATATATGATTTTTATTTTCATTTATCTGATACGTGTGATATAAAAAAACCTCGAATTTTAAGGTGAGTATCAAGAAGGAAATTTTACAAGACGTTCGGTCTTCCAATACTTTACTTTGGATTATTTTAAGATACTTTAATAATTACTCTTTTGAATTATTAGAACAAAATATTTTCAAGGTAGAAATAGTTTTCTATTGTATCATATAAAATTTAGAAGCAGTTTACTGAATACGTTTCTTACATATATCACATATATACATACATATACACGCACGTTAAAAAATGTGTATTTAAACTTGTATATATGTCACGGCTCATGTGTTATTTAATGTACATGGACATTTTTTTTATTGACGTGATATTGATATGTTTTCTATACATTGGATACACGATTTCTTTCCGATTCACCGAAACGCTTTTTTTATTTAGTAATGAATGATATTAACGAATGGTAATTTTTTTTAAAAAAGATTTACTTTATCTGAAATTTGAGAATAATCTTATGTTTTAGCAGCAATTTAAAATATTCATGTAATTTCTTTGAATTTTAATGATTCGTAAATCTACATGGAGGTTTTCTTAAAATTAATTATTAAAAACGTCGTCGCATAGAAGCACGTCGTCCGGTGAGTCGATGGCCACTTACCTCTGACCTGGCCAAACAAAAAACAAGACAAGACTTTATCCACGTAGACGCCACGTGGCATGTATCCATCCTAAGTTGAAACCACGCGCCAACAAGAGCGTGAGGGACAACAAGGAGGTTAAAGAGCTCGGGATGCTAAAGTGCGCGGCTTGGTTGTGGGTGTTAATGGGTTTAGCCTGCGCCTTTCTCCTCTTTCATCGTTCCCTTTGGGCTTTTTAAGTTAAACCTATATTGCTCTCACCGTCTCCTCTCTCTCTCTCCCGCACACACATTCTCTGTATCGGAAGGGTTTTCTTTGTGTCTGTATCTGTATTTGTCTCTCTGAAGCTTTAGCCGATCATCCATGGCCAACTCCTCCGCCAGCTCCGCCGCAAGCCGCCACCATCACCACCACCATAACCTCTCCATCAATCCATCGAGCCAAATCTTCAAAGGTATTCGGTGGTTTTCTGTCGATTTTGATGCTTTGTCTCGTGTTTGATTCTCTCAATTTTGTTTCCATTCATAAACCCTAGTTTTCCCTGAGGAATTGCAGCTCTTTTTTTTTGTCCGACGGCTTTATCGTCTTGTCATCCAGTTTTGATACTCATTGAGTTCTGTTAAAATTGAGTTTTTTCCGTATGGTTCCTGATCTTTATGGATTTGCTGTCCTTTACTTTGCCTCTACATTTGTAGAGTATGAGTCTTCCATGTTCTTGTCAGATCTATACTTGGATATCGAAGAAAGAGCTTTGTTACTTGTTGTTGGTTGTGGGTTGGGTTTGTGGATAGGCTATAGATTCATAAGATGGAAATTTTGTTTCCATGTTGTGTGAGACTGTTCTCAAAGGCTTGAGGTATTATTTGTTTCTCTCTTCTGCTCTCACTTGGGAGACCTCGCTTGCTTGATTCATGATGGATTGTTGACACTGTTATATTGTTATGTTGTTTTCTTGAACAAGTTGCAAATTGAATCTTTTTTTTTCTGTTGAAAGATACAACCTTCCTGTGGAGTGTTTCTTTGTCATGGTACATGATTAGGGAGTAATTTTGTGATATTTCTGTGCAGATGTTCAGGGTTCTGACAATCCGGTTCCACTTTCACCTCAGTGGCTTCTGCCAAAAACAGGGGAGAGCAAGACAGGAATGGGAACTGGAGTATGTTCGCCGTTCTTATGATATAGAAAATCTTTTTTTTTTCCTTACGTTTTATATTCGTTAAGTGTGTTATTTTGTTTGACTTTTACATGCAGGAGTTCAAGGGTATGCAGGAAATAATTCTGTTGGTTTTTCTTTACCGGTTGCTGATGCTGGGAATGACGCATATCTCTTGGCCAAGAAATTGGCACTTGAGCAACAGAGATGGGGAGGAAACACTGGAAACTCTGAAGACAAAAGATGGGTTTCGGCCATCCATGCTTGAGATGGAAAGCGGTCGTCATGACCGATGGCGTGATGAAGAAAGGGATGCCCTGCCGTCTGTTCGAAAAGATCGCTGGCGGAATGGAGACAGAGAGTTTGGTGATAATAGGAAGGACCGATGGGATAACGTGGGTACTAAATCCTTTGGGGATTCACGCCGTGGTCCATCTGACCGGTGGACTGATTCAGGAAACAGGGATGCTGGGACTGATCAACGGCGTGAGAGCAAATGGAATTTGCGGTGGGGACCTGATGATAAGGAGACTGAAATTGCACGCAACAGGTGGGATGAATCTGGTAAAGATGGTGAAAGTTTGCGTGAGAAGGGTATTTCTCTTCCTTCTGGGCATGGGAAGGAAAGGGAGGGAGATCGTTATCGGCCATGGAGACCATCTCAAAGTCGAGGAAGAGGAGAACCTCTTCAAAACCAATCAACTCCGAACAAGCAAGTTCCAGCCTTCTCTCATAACAGGGGTCGTGGGGAGAATGCTCCCACCTTTTCAGCTGGTCGTGGAAGGTTGAACACTGTTGGAAGCTTTTTCAGCAGTGCATCAACCCAGTCTCATCCTCCCGGGGTTCCCTCTGACAAGCGGGAAAGTGGTTATGCAGAGCCTTCTCACCTGAGGTATAGCAGAATGAAACTGCTGGATGTGTACAGGATGGAAGATATAGAATCTTATGAAAAGTTTCCAGATGATTTCATCGTAGTGCCTTCCCTTACATGTGAGAAGCCCTCAGAACCTCTTGCTCTCTGTGCTCCTGATTCAGAAGAAGTGGTGAGTCATCGTTCTCGTATTGCTTATGTTATTTTTCTTTCTACAGTTATCTTAATTCTCTATCATTATCTTCTTTTCACTAATAGATCATCCTGAAGGCGATTGAGAAAGGTGAGGTCGTGAGCAGTGGTGCTCCCCAAATATCCAATGATGGGCCTACTGGGCGAAATCCAGTTGATTACTCACAATCGAGACGAATAAGGCCTGGTAAAGACCCTGTTAAAGACAATGTGAGAGTTAAGGGTTACATCTTGTGTGTACATGCTAAATAACAGAATTTCTTAATGTCTTGTTGCAGTTGGCAGCAGAGAAGATATGTCATATGCTGCTGAGGAATCTAAAGATGGAAGTGCTGATACCTCAAAGACATATCCTGATAAATTTAGGCCTGAAGGTGTGTATGCACGTATTCCAGTCTATACATATGGCTGTTGTCCAGTGCGATGCTTTTGTTAATAGCTGATAATGAAATTTATGTGGTGCACTTTTAGTTTTCTGTCTATTGAATACCCCCATGTTTTTGTTAGAAATTCTCTGTATAATTTTTTCCGCCCAGAGTACACGTTGATCAGACCTTAGATTGAATATATCTATCAATCACGAAGTTTTTTCCAGCACTCAGAATTGTATGAATTGTTTAAATGTTAGAATTGACTTCTTTTCTCTCTAGTTTCTTGTCTCTCAGTTTATGAATTTTTGTGCCGTCTGCAGGTTTTCAAGAAGGTAATCTTACTATGAGGAAAGCTGAAGAGGGATCTGTCATGCAGGAAAATAATAATATTCAATCTATCTCTCCACGGCCACCACTTTCAGTGGGTGAAAGGTCGAGTAGAATCTCACATGATTGGAATGACCCTTCAGCTGATGTTAGAATGAAAAATTCTGACACTGCCTGGGCACCGCCTAAAGGTTTGCTTAACAATGTAATGAACTTGCCACATTCTAAAGGTGAATCGAGATGGCCAATCAGTGAAGAACCAATTCTTAGGAAGCATCCATCTTCAGTGCTTGACAGGGAGCATGAAGCTAGGAAGCTTCTGCCGTCTTCGGTTGAGGCACTATCACTTTATTACAAAGATCCTCAGGGTCACATTCAAGGCCCTTTCTCGGGTTCTGATATTATTGGATGGTTTGAGGCTGGATATTTCGGCATAGATCTGCCTGTTCGTCTTGCAAGTGCACCATTAGATTCTCCATTTTCATTGCTTGGTGATGTGATGCCACATTTGCGGGCTAAGTCTGGGCCGCCACCTGGTTTTGCTGATGCCAAACAGAGTGAATTAGTCAATGCAGCTGGTAGGCCAACCTTTCCTGGTTTAGGGAATGTACATCCTGGGGTTCGTGAGGCTGACATGATGCGAAATGACCCACTGTATAAGCATGTTTCAGCAACAGAAGCTGAGAATAGGTTTGTCGAGTCTCTGATGTCTGGGGTTCTGAACAGTTCAGCTCAAGGTAAGTTTTATGTCTGGGGGTCTGATTATGTTTCAATAATTCCTATTTGCTTTCCCACCATTGGCCTGTCAACGCTATCCACTCATTTTAACTGTTTCTGCTTTGTATCTGCAGGAGTTCAAGGGTATGCAGGAAATAATTCTGTTGGTTTTTCTTTACCGGTTGCTGATGCTGGGAATGACGCATATCTCTTGGCCAAGAAATTGGCACTTGAGCAACAGAGGTCTCTACCTGGTCCATATTCGTTTTGGTCTGGAAGGGATGCTGCAAATGTCATGCCAGGTTCAGAGAGTATCTCAGAACCTGCTCGTCAACCTGCACACTCTCCAAGTTCTAATTTACCTTCTATGCTCCAAGGTGTTGATAGGCTGACTCCTGCCGTTAATAATCCTCTTTCTGCGTGGTCACATTTGCCTGCCCAAAGTGGAATGGGATCTCATCAAAACAAAGTTGATTTGCCCCTTGCTCAAAGCTTCCAAACCCAAGCACCCTTAGGGATCCAACCGCAGAGGCCGCAAGCACAGAATTCACCTTTGGCAGGTTTACTTGGTCAGCCTATTGAAAATAATTGTGCTGGCATTTTGCCCCTTGAAATGATGCTTGCCTCTGGACTACCTCAAGATCCACAGACGCTCAATCTGGTGCAGCAGCAGCTCTTACTACAGTTAAACTCACAGACGCTGGTTTCTTCCCAGCAGCAACAGCAGCAGCAGCTTCTTTTGCTTGAGAAGATCCTTTTGCTGAAACATCAAAAGCAACAAGAAGAGCAACAGCAGATGTTGCGGCAGCAACAACAGCTGCTTTCTCAGGTTCTTTCTGAGCAGCAGCGTTTGGGAGAGTCATCTTATGGACAGTTGCAGCCATCTTTCGATGCTCTTCGGTTTCAACAATCTAGAGATATGCCTCAGATCTGTCAGCAGATGCCTCTTCCCTCAATAACAACCCAAGACTCGAGTCAGAATGTTGCTACTCCTGAGCTCTCCCCTATGCACCTGCAACATCAGATGTTTGGTCTCGATAATTCTAGGATTAACCAGGGAACAACTATTCCTGATCAAATCGATGATATCCATGAAAAGGATCTGCAGTCAGCATCTGGGGCTTATGAAAAAACGGTTTCTGACAGCTTGTATTTGGAGACACCTGCTTTTGCTTCTGGTTTTGAGGCAGATCCAAATGTGGAGGAGAAATCTGATGAGAGCTATCAAATAGCTCTAAACACTGGAAGTTTCGGGAATCAGGGAGAGTCTGCCTCTGTATTAGCTCCTGAGATCTGTGAAACTGAGGTGCCTAAAGAACATGCCAAGGGCGTGAATGTTGATGCGGATGTTCAACAGGAAGTTGCCGGCAACGAAGTCTTCGAAGCAAGGAAAATTTCTGAGAAGAAATCCAAGAAACAGCGAGCTAGCAAGCAATCTTCTAAACAAGGGAAAGGAACATCTAAGGCTTCTCTGCAGGAGACAAAGCAATTGGTAGTAGAGAGTGCTGATGCTTCTGAAACAAAGAGTAAAGATCAAAAGTCGGCTGATTCTTCTGTGGACAAGATCGATTCTCAACCTATTCAGAGCAACACAGTTCCAAGCACCTCCCTAGTGAGTTGTTCTGAAACAGATTCACAGGAGGGAGAATCCTGTGCGAATGAGTCTTCAATACAAGACACCCAAGCACAACCTGGACGAGCTTGGAAGCCTGCCCCTGGGTTTAAGCCAAAGTCACTGTTGGAAATTCAGATGGAAGAACAGAGGAGAGCGCAAGCAGAAGCTTTAGTTCCAAAAGCTCCTGTTTCTGTCAGTTCAGTTGGTTTGGCAACTCCTTGGGCTGGAATTGTAGCCAATGCAGATCCAAGAATCCCAAAAGAGGCTCATGTAGAATCAGATATTCCTGAGGCTAGTGTTGTGAAATCTGAAAAGATTCCTGCTCAGGGCAAGAAGAGCCACTTGCACGACTTACTGGCTGAGGAAGGTTTGGAAAAATCCAAAGAGAAGCAGAGGGAGGCAGTAGAGATGATCTCTAGCAACTCCTTTGTCCAATCGACAGCCACCCACACAGATTCTCTTGAGGATGATAACTTTATCGAGGCCAAGGAAACAAAAAGGAGTCGCAAGAAATCTGCAAAAGCTAAGAATTCTTGCGCAAAATCTGCTGCACCTGTTCCTACTGTCGATCCATCCATTACCTCTAGTTCCATTGACAAGGGAAAAAGCTCTCGGGTCATGCAGCAGGAGAAGGAAGTGTTGCCTGCCGTTCCCTCAGGCCCTTCTTTGGGAGATTTTGTTTTCTGGAAAGGCGAGGCTGATGTCAATAATCCTCCGCCTGCTCCAGCATGGTCCACCGATTCTAAGAAATTCGCTAAACCCGCCTCTCTAAGGGACATACTGAAGGAGCAGGAAAAGACATCTTCCTCTAAACCTCTGATCCCGGTACCCATTTCTCAAAAATCTCCTCCATTTCAGGCTGCTTCTCAAAGTAGCGGGCTTTCTTGGTCAACCTCTGCATCTTCTCCCCCTTCTAAGGCTGTTTCTTCAGTCAAGACACATTCCCAAGCTTCCCCACAAACCAAATACAATGGAGATGACGATCTGTTTTGGGGTCCAGTTGACCAATCAACCCAAGTATCGAAACAGTATGGGTCTTTGAATCATCTACTCGCTTTTGGTTTTGTCATTGCTTTATCTTTTAGCTCATTCTTCACTACTAATTGTCGTTTTCCACTGAAACAGGGGAGACTTCCCTCATCTTACAGGCCAAAAGAGTCGGGGAACCAAAACCACTCCCAGGAAAGCAAATGCGGATAGTTCCCTGAATCGCCAGAAGTCTGCAGTAGGAGTTGGATCTGCGGACCGGGTTTTGTCTTCACCCATTGTTCCTCAGTCATTGCCCAAAGGGAAAAAAGACGCTGTGATAGCACATACAGGTTAGTTTTGTGCCACATTTTATTCTTTTTCCAAAAGAATTCATTTTTTCTTATAATGTTCGTGGATTCTGCAGAGGCGAATGATTTCAGAGATTGGTGCAGAAACGAATGTATCAGGCTTCTTGGTTCAGAAGGTAAAAAACTCATGTTTTGTTGTAGCTTTTCAGTTTTTTCTTGTCTGCTTTCTAGTAGCGAGCGATGATGTGCGTCATCTCTGTGTTCTTGCCCAAGGTTAGAAATTGCATTGTCTAGTACCCGAATACGTGGGACCCACCTGTGGGTACCCATAGCTTCACGAGCCTCAGCCGCGTAAATGGCAAGGTCGGGTGCATGGTGTCCGGAGACCTATGTCGGGTTTGAGGTCGTGTTACGTTGGCCTGTTAGGGATGACTTATTCGGGTTTTGGTTTGGGTTTGGTGGGGTTTTGGGTTTTAATGATAGAAATACTCAGTTTTTTGGTTATTTTAATACTGGGCGAGAAACCCGAGGGGATGAACCCAAGGTTAGATACATTGGAAAACTCGGGTATCCGACCTATGTCCATCCCTAGTATTGTCTTGGATGCGGTAGCTTCTGTTGATATAGAATGAGACCATTCCTTTTCTTCATTCCTTGAGAGTATTGGTGATGTGAACTTGCCCTTTCTTCTGGATGGCCTTTTTGTCTTTCCATCAGATACGAGTGTGTTGGAGTTTTGCCTGAAGCTTCCGAGATCAGAAGCTGAAACCCTCCTGACTGAAAACCTCGGATCCGTTGATCGGGACCGCAAGTTCATCGACAGATTCCTCAACTACAAAGACTTTCTACCTGCTGAAGTGCTCGATATGGCATTTCGTTCGGGTTCGGGATCGGGATTGGGGAGCAGCCAGGGAGAGAATGATAGCTTGGCATCCGCGAGCGAGAACGATGGGTTCTCGAAAGCAGGAGGGGGAAAGAAAAAGGGGAAGAAAGGGAAGAAGGTAAGCCCTTCTGTTCTGGGATTCAACGTCGTTAGCAACCGGATCATGATGGGAGAGATTCAGACCATTGATGACTAGGTTTAGGACATGCTTTTCTCTTTGTACATCTCTCTTTTAGGACAGACCTTTTTTCTCTGTTTCTCGTTCTAACTTAACTGATGGATCCTGCTAATGTGATCTCTGTAGACGGCGATTTTGTTTCTGACTGTGAAGATGTCTTTCCAAGTTTTCTATGTTATATTGATTTAGATAAGTAGGGGGTTAGTTAATGCAAACCAAATCGGGGGTGAATTTAATAAATATTCACCGATTTTGCTTAGAAGTATGAAAAAGTAGTTGTATACAAACTAAATATTAAATAAATTTTCTATTTGAAAATGAAAAGATAATCCTTAATTTTTGGACGGCCTATATATATATATATACTAATATGTCAATGAATTGTTTTTTGAACACGTAATTCAAATATTCTCTAACTATTCCCATCTTATATTCTCCAATCAATAACGAGCCACTTGAGCCTCTGATGTTGCTTTCCGAGAGAATAAACCTCTGATTGAAACCGAGGCTTCAAAATGAGCCAACCAAAAAATAAGTTCGTTTCCGAGGTCACAGCCGTCAAGAAAAAGGGTCTCTTCGGACGAACAACACGCCGCGTAGGAGGAGGAGAACCTGTTCTCTCTGTGTCTCTCGAGATGGCGATGAAGGCCTCTTTCAAAGGAAGGTACGACAGCGACAAGACCAACGGCATCGTATCCGTCGCCTTCAACGCCGGAGATGTCAAGCTACGCGCTACCATGACCGACGCCACCGTCGTCGCTGGTCCCAGCTTGAACGGCCTCTCTCTCGCCGTCGAGAAGCCCGGATTCTTCATCGTCGATTATAATGTCCCCAAGAAGGTAGTTTTGTATCTTTTTTTATGCTGTTTGGCTGCCGAGAAAATCGAGGAAAGTATGAGCGGCAGTTATTTTAAGAGAACGTCTACGTTTCGAAAGTCACCCGGAATTAGGCGTTTCTGTGAATACCTAGACACTGAGTTCTTTCGCTTCAATTTGTTTAATTTACGGACGAACGAGTGATCTTCGAACCGGTGAATTTTGAATTTTCTTTGTTCTTCATCGTCGTCTCTTATGTTTGGCAGCCGAGAAAATAAAGGATAGTTGAGCAAACTTTGTCATTCTTTGGAATCGTAGGAAGTTTGAGTGAAATACATATATATGATTATTATACTGACTAAAATCTTAGCTTCGACTGTGTAATTGCCTAAGAAATGAGTAATAATCGACCAGACAAGTTATGGAATCTATAATTTCCGGTTACTGATAGTTCAAGAAATTTATGGTGAAAAAGAAAATCTCAAGGAAAAAATGCAGATGCTTGTTCGAGTTTGTTAAGAAAACGAGGGAAAGTGGAACTAGAAAGTTTTAGAGTTCGTAGCTCATGTTCATCAACCTTCCAGGTTTCAGAGTCTTGTTTTACAATATTTTCAGGAACAATCTTCTCTGGGTGATTGTAAGGTGTATTCTGCTGCCGGATGTTAGGTTTCAGTTCATGAACACGGTTAGAATCGCAGAGAAGCCTTTGAATTTGGTTTATATTCATAACAGAGGAGACAACCGAACAATTCTTGAGGGGAGCCTTGCAATTGATCCGGCGAATAAGTTTTCGGCTAACTATATGGTCGGTACAAACAACTGTAAGCTGAAGTATACTTATGCTCATGGAGGGATAGCTACATTCGAGCCATCCTATGACATGGCGAAAAACACATGGGATTTTGCTGTTTCCCGGAAAATTTACGATGATGATGTTGTTAAGGCAACTTATCAGACATCTAGTAAAGTGTTGGGTTTGGAATGGACGAGGAGCTCCAAGATGAACGGATCTTTCAAGGTATGTCCTCCTGAAATCGTTACTCTTATTTTTAGCCGTTGCCTAGGTGGGACTGCATTGCTTATACAATATTTATCCCTACTGCTTAATTTAACTCAGTTGTGTCCAGACAACATATTGTACCACCGTTTGTCCTGTAACCGTATCCTTAAATTCCAGCTTCTTACATGAGTACTATTAGGGTTTGCGGTTAGCATGATTCTCTAAATTTGAAGAATTGAAAACTTGTGGCTGAGTTTTCCAGCCCGTGTTATTTGTTGAGTGTTTAAAGGGTAACCCGGTGCACATAGCATCCTATTGAGCGGGCGTTTAGTAAGGTTCCACCACAAAGGTGTATTTAGATTTTTGTTCAGTGTTTTTTGGATGAAAAATTGGAACTAGTCTAGCGAAATTAACTTGGTACAAATGACTAAAAGGATAAACTCTGTTCCTTGTCGGATTTCAGGGTCTAGGAGCATAAGCTTTGTTCGAACCATGAGGATGATGTACCATAGACTTGGCTGGGTTTTTAGCAACAACTTGAAAATCATGCTCTCTGGTGCCGTTTAAGCAGTATTGGCTGCAACTAACACAGGGCAAGTTTTAGTCTAAAAGTCGTTCCTTTTTACTCGGTCCTCGTATAGTTACGGTAGAATCTGTCATGTGCTTTTTACTGCATCATCAATTGGGTTACAAGTATTTGGTGCATTGACATGTTTACATAGAGGAATTACATAGTCCAAAAGCCCCGGGAATTGGAGTGTCTGCTGGTATAAAGCTCGGTGAAAACTATCTTTGCTTTTGGTATTTCTTGAATAACGGTGCTTTACATTCGGAAATGACTTGTTTTCGCCATTGGATTTTGCCATCATTAGGTCTCGTGATTATGCAGTTCATGTGGAAATCATTCATAATGCTTAGATCGGAGTTTCTGTTTCATTGACAGGTTTGCGCCTCGATGAATCTAGCAGAGGAGGTGAAAACGCCGAAACTGAGCGCTGAAACGACATGGAACCTCGAGATTTGATTTTCCGATGCCCCCTTTTTCGCGACGGTAACTGTTGGTTTTTCCGACCATAAGAAGGGTAAAAATGATAAACAAAACTCTCATTTAAAGACTGCGGTCTTTCCCTCCAGGAAGTTGTTGAAACCCTCTTGTGTTTCTTCTTGATACATGCGTTTTCTTCCTCTAAGTTGTTCCTTTGGATGAAAAAGTGATCATTTATTTGTGTTATACTGTTACCTTTCAAATATATGGTTTCTATGTTCATTTATCTGTTACATGTGACATAAGAAAACTCAAATTTTACAAGACGTTCGGTCTTCCAATACTGTAGCTTGGATTATTTTAAGATATTTTAATGGCTACTCTTTTGAATTTTTAGAACAAAACATTTTTAAGGTGGAAATATCATATAAAATTTAGAAGCAGCTTACGGAATACACTTCATACATATATCATATGTATATATATATATATATATATATATATATATACACGTATAGGGGTATAAAACGGTCCGGCCCGACCCAGTTCAGCCCGGCTCGTCCCTGAGGAAGGGT